AAATCTTCGGGATGATTCTGGGCTGAACTCCTGCTTTTGGTAATCAAGAACTGAATACACAGGTCTTTGATTGGTCTCGTTTTAGCATGCGCCACACACCCGGTTTCCTTTCGGGATCTCATTCTGTGTTTCTGAGGTATTACGGTCACGCATTATTCTCTGGAATCAGGATTGTTTCTTCGTTCCCAGGACGATCTAATAGCCACTTAAAGCTGCAGCAAAGTTTCATTCATCATACCTGGACTTCAAATGCTTATCGTTCTGGTTGTGATGACGCTGATGAAGAAACGCGCTCCACGGCGAGGCATAAAAGACGGCGACAACGCTTCTTAAAGCCATATACGGCGCGAGCTCCGGTTTCCACTTAAACGGTCACTAGCTCTTCAGAGCTGCCATTGCGCATGCATTCTTCCCCTTGGGCGAGTCAAATACGATGCCCTTGACAAGTTTGACCTTGATCAGAATCTCAACCCCTTGTCGTTGCGTAAAACTTGATGATAGCCTCGCTGCAGAAGATAATTTTGAGGAGAAGTGTTGCAGCACACAACTTCCCTTTTCTTGCACTTTCTTGAAGATGGATCATTCTCCGTTTGAGAAGTGTCCGTGCAACAGTTCATGAAAGGCCTGTAGCCGTCATTTGATCGTTCTCTCCTGTTATCACAGCAAAGTCGTATGTCGATTGAAGTTTAATCCTGAATAGCTCGTTCCTTATTGCTGTGCAATAGAATCGTGCAGCCACAGCTTATATAGCACTCTCGAATCCGAAAATTGCGAAATGTGTGCTTGTCAACGTTCCGAAATTTCGGTGTTCCACATTAAACGACTGACACCACAGATATTCGCATTTCTGTTAACGGAAAAGGCTTCGTGGCAGCATATCTTTTGGTAATAAATGGCCGTTGCTCCAGTTCTTTTATTAAGTTTATGGTTTTTCTTTAGGAATGCATTATTGACTGAAGAGGTCGTGGCTAAAGGGTTCTCCTTCGCGGCAAGACGAGTAATGTAGTGATTCTCATAACCACCGTTAATTACATATGGTTCCGTGTGCCCTGTCCACTATGAACCGATCCATCTCTACCGTTCGATTCCCTTTCAATTGTTTTTCTTTGATTTAGCACAAATGAAGAACTTCGTGAGAACCTAATATTTTGTTCCACTAATTCTAACAAATCAAAAGCTCAAATAATATCACTTTGAGAAGTGAGCTGGCTGAGGTAGTTATGTAGAAATCATGATATAGCTGCTGTCCATCAGAGAAACCGGGGAAGTTGCTAATTCGTGGAAGTCATCAACTTTATTTCAGCTCGAAATCCGCGTTTGAGATCGGTTCACCTTCTAAGACTGAGGATTGGAAAAAGCACCATGCAAACCAGATGAGCACATTCAAACCGAGCTACGACGAAGGTTCGTTTGTTATCCTGCCTCAAATTTCTTCCATACATGAAGAATTTCTGGTTACTGTCTTTTGTCGTTGAGCCAGTTGCTTTGATGTGAAGATTCTTCATGAACCTAGGAATTTTGTCGTGAACAGTTATCATTTCGTAAAATAATTACTCACTTGTGTGCTGAAGGCCGTTAGTTATTTATTGAGCTAAATAAAATGTGTGGGCTAGGAAAATAAAAGTGGGGAGGCCTGT